TGAACAACACTTCTGTTAAAGAGAACAACAATAGTGTTGATTAGAACAGCAATACTGTTGATGTTAACAACACTTCTGTTGAAGAGAACAACAATACTGTTGAAGTGAACAACACTTCTGTTAAAGAGAACAACAATAGTGTTGATTAGAACAACAATACTGTTGATGTTAACAACACTTCTGTTGAAGAGAACAACAATACTGTTGAAGTGAACAACACTTCTGTTAAAGAGAACAACAATAGTGTTGATTAGAACAACAATACTGTTGATGTTAACAACACTTCTGTTGAAGAGAACAACAATACTGTTGAAGTGAACAACACTTCTGTTAAAGAGAACAACAATAGTGTTGATTAGAACAACAATACTGTTGATGTTAACAACACTTCTGTTGAAGAGAACAACAATACTGTTGAAGTTAACAACAATACTGTTGAAGTGAACAACACTTCTGTTAAAGAGAACAACAATAGTGTTGATTAGAACAACAATACTGTTGAAGTGAACAACACTTCTGTTAAAGAGAACAACAATAGTGTTGATTAGAACAACAATACTGTTGAAGTTAACAACACTTCTGTTAAAGAGAACAACAATAGTGTTGATTAGAACAACAATACTGTTGAAGTTAACAACACTTCTGTTGAAGTGAACAACAATACTGTTGAAGTTAACAACAATACTGTTGAAGTGAACAACACTTCTGTTGAAGAGAACAACACTACTGTTGAAGAAAATAGCATAACTGTCGAACAACAAGACGTACTAAGCTCTGCAACATCAAAGACTGGCATGTTTGTTTTGGTTGAATTTTAAAGGTAATTGATTTTGAAATATCGATCAACAAATTAATAATAAATAGCAATTGTCTGGTATCTCCTTTCGGTATCATAAATGGTTTTTAGAGCGTACATAGGATACATTTTGATTAATATTATGCATGTAAATTACGAAGACGATTCACCCATTAGGACCTCAAAATTCATAAAAAATATACAGTTGAAAGAACAGATGAAAAAAACATAATTAAGAAGGACGAAATGCTGCCTATAGCGTAAGTAATTTGAGATCCCATTTAATTGAATAGAACACACACATACACTTTGAGGTAAAAAAGAAATCCGTCGTGCCATACCTTGTCGAATGCCTTAGAAGAATTTAATGAAATATTTGTAAACATGTCTTTCCGGTTATCAAAGGATAAATATATTTTAATGTGGGATTTTCACAAGCTGATTTATCGCAAAACCTGGAGTTTCTTTTACTGAAATGTTTTTTTCTATATAAAATCAAAGATATATATTTAAATACTGTTTTAGACATGTGATGTCCAAAGCACAAGATCACTGTCCCACTGCAGGCAAATAACTAGATATTTTCACTGCAGTTTTTCGTACATATAGTAACCTTACCTTGCAACTGTAGTGCAATTAGGACAGGTCACTTTTTGACCAGAAAGCTGCACGCTGTAATTGGTCATAATACATACAAACAGCACAGAGCTATCGCCGTTCTTTGTTTTCTTTCTGTAGTCTGGCAATAACTTTTAGATTTATTCCTATTTTTTGTAAGTTTGGCCTCTTGAGTTTCGTCCTGTTCTAGACTATTTTCACGTCTATTATAACAGATTTTTGATACCACTCTTCGCTAATCTCACAGTTTTTTGAAGCTGACAATTGCACAATATTGTGTCGGGTGATGCAGTGGATAGCGCACTTGTCTTCCACCAAGGCGGCCGGGGTTCGATTTCCTGATCGGACGTGAAAAGATAAGGTCACTTGCCCGACCACGTGGGCTTTCTCCGGGTACTCCGGTTTCCTTCCACATTAAGAACCCCCCCTTGGCAAATTGATTTTTTTTTGTAGCAAAATTGTTATTACTCAGTACTTCACTTTTAACCATTTATTGGGTTATTGTCTGTTGTAAAATGCATTAGCATGCTACTGTTCTGGAGGGCCAGGATGTCTAACGTTAATAAAAAAAACTGAATTGACTTACGTACAGAATGGATACTAACATTATGACATTGACACTATTACAGGTAAGCTATACTTAGACATTATGATATGTAAGTTAGAAATAGACATAAGTACAAATAAGCCAGCTAAAGACATTGTGACAGGTGAACTGAACAGAGACATTATGATATGTAAGCTATATATAGACTTTATGACAAATAAGCTAGCTAAACCCATTGTAACAGGTAAACTGGACACACAAATTATGATATGTAAGCTTGACATTGACATTATGACATGTAAGTTAGACATCGACATCATGACAGGTGAGGTAAACATCGACATTACGAAAGGTGAGCGGGACATTGACATTATTAGAGGTTAATTAGACAAAGACATTATGACAGGTAAGCTAGACATAGCATTATGACGGGTAAGTTAGAAATAGACATAGTGGCAGTTAAGCTAGAGATATCCATTATGACAGGTAAACTAGACATAGCATTATGGCGGGAAAGTTAGACATAGACAAAGTGGCAGTTAAGCTAGTGATGGACATTATGACAGGTAAGCTAGACATAGCATTAAGACGGGTAAGTTAGACATAGACATAGTGGCGGTTAATCTAGAGATAGACGTTATGACAGGTTAACTAGTCATAGCATTATGACGGGTAAGTTAGACATAGCCATAGTGGCAGTTAAGCTAGAGATAGACATTATGACAGGTAAACTAGACATAGCATTATAACGGGTAAGTTAGACATAGACATAGTGGCGGTTAATCTAGAGATAGACGTTATGACAGGTTAACTAGTCATAGCATTATGACGGGTAAGTTAGACATAGACAAAGGGGCAGTTAAGCTAGTGATAGACATTATGACAGGGAAACTAGACATAGCATTATGACGGGTAAGATAGACATAGACATAGTGGCAGTTAAGCTAGTGACAGACGTTATGACAGGTTAACTAGTCGTAGCATTATGACGGGCAAGTTAGACATAGACATAGTGGCAGTTAAGCTAGGGATAGACATTATGACAGGTAAACTAGACATAGCATTATAACGGGTAAGTTAGACATAGACATAGTGGCGGTTAATCTAGAGATAGACGTTATGACAGGTTAACTAGTCATAGCATTATGACGGGTAAGTTAGACATAGGCATAGTGGCAGTTAAGCTAGTGATAGACGTTATGACAGGTTAACTAGTCGTAGCATTATGACGGGTAAGTTAGACAAAGACATAGTGGCAGTTAAGCTAGTGATAGACATTATGACAGGTAAACTAGTCATAGCATTATGACGGGTAAGTTAGACATAGTTAATTAGACAAAGACATTATGACAGGTAAGCTAGACATAGCATTATGACGGGAAAGTTAGACATAGACATAGTGGCAGTTAAGCTAGTGACAGACGTTATGACAGGTTAACTAGTCGTAGCATTATAACGGGTAAGTTAGACATAGACAAAGTGGCAGTTAAGCTAGTGATGGACATTATGACAGGTAAGCTAGACATAGCATTATGACGGGAAAGTTAGACATAGACATAGTGGCAGTTAAGCTAGAGATATCCATTATGACAGGTAAACTAGACATAGCATTATGACGGGTAAATTAGACATAGACAAAGTGGCAGTTAAGCTAGTGATAGACGTTATGACAGGTTAACTAGTCATAGCATTATGACGGGTAAGTTAGACATAGTGGCAGTTAAGCTAGAGATATCCATTATGACAGGTAAACTAGACATAGCATTATGACGGGTAAGATAGACATAGACATAGTGGCAGTTAAGCTAGTGATAGACGTTATGACAGGTAAACTAGACATAGCATTATGACGGGTCAGTTAGACATAGACATAGTGGCAGTTAAGCTAGTGATAGACGTTATGACAGGTAAACTAGACATAGCATTATGACGGGCAAGTTAGACATAGACATAGTGGCAGTTAAGCTAGAGATAGACATTATGACAGATAAACTAGACATCGACAATACTGTATCACATGAAATGTGTGTTGTGTATAAACAATCGTGGTTTTCGTGGTTGCTATTGAGCCACGAACATAAATACAACGAATTTGAATGAAATACGTGTCTCCTGTTTGTTAACATGGGATATCCACGAATGTTTGTACCACGAAACCATCTTAAAGGCTTCAAACCACGAACTTTCGTGTTATACAGTATGACATGTGTCAGGACATATTTTGTTTGCAAATTCATCGCTGACATCCATGTTGACATAAATAATCTGCTCTAATTGATTTATATTGATGGTTCACGGGTGAAGGTGACCAGTTGTAGCCTGTTTGAAAAATCATCTTTTAGAACACAGTTCTTTCCATATATACCTTTCAAAATTACATTTATTTTCACCTATGCCTACATATGCTTAACTGGTCATTATAGAACTATTTGATACCAAATGAATAGATACTCATGTACCAGTTTATTGGTAATTCGTGATTACAGAAAAACATTACACCTGTTATATGGACTGGGCAGTACATAAGTGGCATTATTTATAGATTTAAACAAAGTTATTGAACTACATTCATGAATTATGCACATTGTACATTTATCGTCAGAGGAAACAAAACGTCGTGTAGCGTGCTATAGGGGTGTAATTCCTACCAGGACAGTACTGTTTAGATCAATACACGGCTAGCACGGTCAGTCCATATTACTGATGGGGTCAAATGTAGCTTCTATAATGTCTGTCAGCCTTTTGCTTGATAGACAGTAATAGGTTTTGTTGTGATTAAAGCATACCAATCCATATATCACCCAATCTCAAATACTACAGCATATGTACTCACCGCGTGGATGATTAAAAACGTGAAACATATATCCTGTAAAAACTAAACATAAATGAATTAGTTTTTATTAATGAGTATTCCTCGCTACATGCATCACGGTACAACAAAGAATTGGGCGTGGAGGCAAACCCAATTAGTGTATTGTATACCAGGGTAAAGTCATGGATTAAAAACTGAACATAAAACGGATAGTGTCAATACCTTACCTTTGAATGAACTATAATCACACAATTCTATATCCAGCATATATTTTCCGTGATAATCTCTCAAGTCTATTTGTACCACACTAGCAAAAGCTGTATCCAAACACAACGAACGCGGTAGTCCACACACACACATACACACACTCATGTACACGAGTGTTTAAATACCGGGGCGTAAAACCAAACGGTGCGTAACGGATGAATACGCGGCCATTGATAATACCATAATAATGAGAATATCCGGAAACATGCTCCACTGATTTTAGTATTCGTATACACTTATTTAGAGATTTGGGGTTTTCCCGTGACCTAATTAGTTTCTCACGTGATAATGAATCGCAATTATATTCTATCTATATATATTCTGTTACGCCCAGTTATTTTGAGGTGTGACACCTTATTTTAACCAGTGTTTCATTTTCTCGAGACCAAATTTGTTCCTCATGTGATAATGCCTAGTCAATATTTTTAAAACCTATCCATATTTTGTAATAAACATTCAGCTGATTTTTAGTCAAATGATAACTACGAATACATTTCGCAATGTTTAATTTGTTATTTGCATGTCTCATCTTCTTACGGAAGTATATATATACTGCATCTTATTTCTCTTTCAACTATGCTACAACTTGAAAACTGCGTTGTTGCAACGTTTCCATTAGAACCATCAATGTATACAGTTAAGTAATGGTCAACCTATTTCTTAAAGGCTTTGTACATTTAAATGTTAAGACATTTGCGGATGAAATAATATAACTGTTATATAGTAATGATAATTTAGAAGACTTATATACGCTGTTTTCCTTTCCATATGTTCACCATAAATGCTATACAATAATAACATAAACTCATAGAAAACATCCAATGTAATTTCACAATATATCCCTGATGTTTATATATATATACATGTATAACATTGAGCGGTTGGTTAATCGTTTACGATATTTCTGGTCAAACGATTTACAAATAAAATGAACTGCACATTATGTATCAACACCTTTTCATTCCAAATGATCCAAATAGCATGCTTGGATATAAATGACATTACGAGTGTGCATATAAAATGATTAAATGATGAGACTTACCATGGAACCGTGCTAGGTGTGATGACTATGTTCGTTCATCTGTTCATGTGTACGTGTAACGATGATACTTATACAGGTAAGCTTATCTCAGGTGGCGGAAAATAATGAATAGGTTGGATTAACTAATCACAAATAAGGACGAGCACAGTCCGTAAAATAATGAACGTACTTTGACAATATGAACCAATTTCAATGTCTGATCGCAGCAGACAAACCCTAATTAGCAGTTCCTTTAAATACAAAGATAACAGAAATCGACCTTACCATGCTATGGGGGTTTTGACCACGGAAGAACGGATTAACACACTGACAAAGTGACAACACCATACTTACTCACTCAGTGGGGTATAAAAGGCAATTAACATGTATATAATATTATTGCATGCATATTGAATAAAATACTGTTTAATCTAAATATTACGCTAGATTTAGCATCACAAACACGTTGAAATGATAACAGATTCATAGCTTCTGGAATGATCGAGTTACTATAATTTGGAAGGAGGTATTGTAGTATTCCACATAATTTCTGGCTGATCCTTACTAAATGCACATTTAACCTCCTCTCGCAGCTGGCCTTTACCTTGAAAATTGAATTTATTTTTGCACGGTTTTTCTGAAATACTAATTTAAAAATGAAAAATGAATTGTAGCTAAAGTTGCTAAAAACCAACGTTGTGAAGTGGATTTGTATGCACATATACAGCCGTGCTTTTATTACCACTAAGGAGTCCATGATTGATAAAGGGCCATATTGTGTTGTTAGCATTGCTTTGCTTTCCGCATCAACTCACTATTTTTTTAATTTTTTTTTACATGAGCTTTCTTATTTCGTGTTCCTAGTGATTATTGTTAACACTTGGTACCCATGTGTGTTTCCCCTTGCAGTTGAGTGTAGGCAGTAGTAATCTGGCGATGTAGTTTGTCGTGACTTAGTACTATCAATGTTCTTGGTAACACCAACATACATTAATTTCACTGCATCACTGCTTTTCACAAAATCCGCGCAAACTGTTCGAAGATAAATCCCCAAAAAATTAACTCGAATCAAAATTAAAAACATCAGTTCGGAAAAATATATTATTCTTAATTTCCTCTGCTTGATTATTCTTCTACGTGGTTGATTCCGACTACTCGTTCAAAAAATAATGTATTTGTATATTCTATAAGAAGTGTGTTTGTGTTATCCACTCACAGCTCAATGAATGTAATCAAAACGATATTGTAAACCAAAGCTACATTTTCACATCCATAGGTCCATTATTGGTTCCATTTAGACAACTATCTACTGTACACGTCCAACAGAAGACAACAAGGGACAGCATATCCCGCCGAAAACACCCACATAACATTTATTGTTGGTACATGAATTCTTTTCATCAGAAAGAGCAGTTGTGAAATGTTTGCTATAGCATTTATAGATGGGAGTTGTTATCTCAATGCTAGTAAATAGACATTTCTATTTGTATCGCCATTCGACATTCCACAAACCCAAAAAATCATAGGGTTTTTCTTCTCCTTTATAGCAACCCATAATGAGCTTTAAGAACCATTTGTTCTGAAGTTTGGGAAGAACAAACCTTTATGAATTCGTACAGTTCAAGCATACATAGTGTTACTCTGCCTGGTATACGTCCTTCCGTTTGATAGATGCATACCCCATTCATTTGGCATATTATAAATTAAAAGTATAATAGATGTCGACTGTGTATTCCATAAACCTCCTATTTCTAATCTATTTTACTATTTACGCAGATTACACAGTTAGTCATAAGAGGAAAATGACCGTCATTCAGGTTCAAGGACATGCCATTCGTATAGCTTCAATGGTGAGTGGTATATCCAGTTTTGTTACCGTAGACAGACCATTCTCTGTTCTAGCAGAATTGATGGCGTCTCTCAGGCCCAGATACACCGAGATACAAAGGATCAGCGGCGGTTCTCCGATTCCCTGTGGATAGACAAATACATCCATCAAAATCATGGTTTATAATATATTCATGATGACCGAAATGTCAATATACCAGTGTATTATATGCATTATATGCTAAAACCTATTTGCAAAATATTCTCCAATTATAACTGCTTTAGCAAACACAATCAATTTCAAAATATAAGATATTGAAGATTTATTTGCGATGAAATTGCTTATAAGAATTATATTTTGGTCAATTAACTGGAATGTTTCTTCCTAAAGAGAAACAGAGACATTATTCCATGTCATGTATGACAATAATGGTAAGTCACCAAATGGCTTGATGGAAGCGTGTTCAACTACATTTTTACCGAATACAGGCCTAAAAATTATTTTTCTATTTACATACTTATGTTTTACCCTTTGAATTTACACAAAGTTAGGTATAGATTTCGTTTCGTGCCTTTTTAAAGAGTTAAATGAATTTAATCGAATCGTGATTAAATTGGGTTATCATATCTTGGAGTTATCTCTGTTTGTCTATCTTGTCAGTTTTCAACTAGAGTTCTTTCCTTGATAAGAGCTCTCATATCTATACAAGTTTGAGCTGATCGGAAACCAAATGTTGTCTCAGGGAATACAGATCCCCAGAGCTCATGAGTGGAGCCATGACCATTATATGCCATTAAAACCTATTCATAAGCTGATTGTATTTCTTATGATAAAATGTAGTACGTTTTGGAATTATTCCCAGTAATGTTGCAGTATCGTACTGGCATTACAAATATCATGAATCTGAAGCACAATAGTTAAGCTTTCTGGTTTATAACCAAGAATTTTGAGGATTGAATCTTCGTATCGGAGCCAAGATGTTTTTGAGCAAAAGAAACTATTATAAGTATATTCTTATCGTATTTCATTTTCTTAAGAAGTGTATGGACAAATACCCTTTTTCGTTGGATATGTAACCCAGGATTCTTCCTTAAAAGTCCTTAGAGGAATAAACAGCTCGTTCGTTGGGACAATCCTTTAAAAGTGACACTCTGAACTCTCTTGGAATACCATTGACATTTGGAAACTTTTAATCAATCGGTCCAGAAACGTTGTATTTACCATTGGCTTCAACTTTTATTTCCTCCATTGTCAGCCACCCGTAACCCTGTCACCCAACAAAGAATTTCGATATACAGATGAACGTAACGCACCACAGAAACATTTGAAAAGTTTGTAAAAGACAATATGCCAAAAATTAATTTCACTGCATCTGCAGCTGTTTCGTCCTTCTAGGACTCATCAGTGATTCTAAGGGCACAACGAGATTCTTAATAATTTGAAAAAAAATGCAAGATGCATAAAAAACCATTAATACATAAATGCCACAACTTTATAGGAGTAATGGCTGATTTCAAGTTAATTATTAGAGTGTATAACTCTATGCAAAAGATAATACTGTGGCCAACAAGGTTACAGCAAAATTATCCACCAGCAGACTACCATCTTGTATCTTGAAAGATAAAATTAAAACGCACACAGGTGATTACACCTTAAATGTTAATAATAGATACAGTATGTCAAGAATGAATAAAACTGCATCAACACACCACAAAGACAAGACTTACTGTCATATGCTTGCAACTACATGTATCTTATTACAATTGTGTTCATCTGATCATGATTGTTTCTTGTGGCATAAAAAGAATATCATCAAACACATACATATGTGCACATGTTTTTGACATGAGACATTTACCCTGCCGCAGTTTATCTTTTGTCTATTGTTGTTGCTACGTTTTAATCATTACAAAGTGTTGGACGGTCAATTAACAATAATGTTTGATGTTGATTAACATCCTGCTATTTTTTCATAGTCAGAAAGCAAATGGTAACATGACATTGAGTGGAGAAACATCTGGCTTCTGTTTAATTTGTCTTCTTAAAAATTGATCATAATCAGATAAAACATTATTAATTTAACGTTTGTCGAGTTTCTTCCGGAATTAGTGAAATATTAGCTACCTTGTTTAATGTACATGTGTTTTACGAATCTTGATAATTATAGTATAAATACAATGGTTACCCGACTATTTATAGGAGACGTGCCGACTCGAATGTTGAGAACGCAAACTTCCTGTCATCGCTATATCAATATGTATGTACATC